CTCTGGGTTTTTTCCTCTGCCATATAAATTTAGATATACATTTGTTTAATTCTACAAAAAAGTTCTTTTCCAACTTGACTGGCACTGTCTGAAACAGGAACAACAATTTTGGTAAAATATTCATTTTTACTGTCGAAATACGTCCCAATAACAATAACTGCAGTTTGGCCCAATTATCTAAATCTTTAACTATTTGCGTTATTAACTTACCATAGTTATCTTTTTTAATCGACGAACATCTAGCAGTCAACCAGATCCCTAAGTATTTTACTTTATTTACCACCTGCATACCTAATTTATTTGCTAGTTCTTCCTTCTGTTCCTTTGTACAGTTTTTTTGTTAACACTTTTGTTTTTTCTTTATTAATTTTTAACCCTGCCACCTTTCCATATTCTTTTATTTCTCTTAGTAGTATAGGGCTTGTTTCTAAGGGTTCTTCTAATAAAAATGCCATATCATCGGTGAATTCCTGGAGTTTATATTCCTCTTTTTTAATTTTTAGTCCTCTAATCTCTTGTTTTTGCCTAATTTGTGCTAAGAGAGTCTCTTCTGCCAATATATACAATAGAGGAGCTAGGGGGCAGCCTTGTCTTACTCCCTTATTTATCTTTATGGTATCTGTATTTTCCCCATTTATTAATATTTTTACAGTTTGCATGTTATAAATTGTCTTAATAAATCCTATAAAATTTTCACCAAATTTCATGCCTATCAGTTGTTTAATAAGGAAGTTCCAATTCAGGTTGTCAAAAGCCTTCTGGGCGTCTAAAAGTATCAATGCCATTGTCTTGGTTGAGTGCACTTCATAATATTCTAATATATCCATAATGGTTCTTGTATTTGTTTTTATTTGCCTATGGGGGAGGAAGCCATTTTGATCAGTGTGGATAATTCTACTTAATACTCTCTTTCCGCCAATATTGTAGCCATTATTTTGTAATCTACATTTAAAAGTGATATTGGTCTATAGTTTTGAATTTTTTGTGGGTCTGATTGTTATTTATAAATAAGGGTAATATATGCTTCCAACCATGATTTAGGCATGTTAGCGTTCTCCAGGGCTTCATTGTACAAGTCCGCCAATATCTCCTCTATTGTTTCTTGGAATTTCTTATAGAATTCCAAAGGAATTCCATCTGGGCCAGGGGTCTTATTTGCTTTTTGTGTTCCAATTGCCTTCCTAATTTCTTCTATAGATATTTTATTATTCAAATTTTGTTTCTCTTCACCAGTAATTTCAGGCAGGTTCTTTTCATTCAAATATTGATCAATAAATTCTTCTGGTATTTCTTCCTGTTTATACAATTTCATAAAAAACTCCTTAGCAATTTCTTTCTTTTCTTGGGTCTGCATGCATAATTTCCCTTCCTGATCTTGGAGAGCTACGATCATTCTCTTTTCTTGTTCTTTTTTAATTTTATGGGCTAACCACCTCCCCGGCTTATTTGCGTTTTCAAAATAATTTTGTTTTGCTAATTTAATTTTTCAGGCCAAATCTTCCTGTACATTTAAATTTATTTTATGTTTTACCAGATCAATTTCTTTCTTAATGTTTGAATTGTTTGGGTCCTTTTGTCTACTTATTTCCAAATCTTTCAGTTTCTCCCTCCATATGTTTTGTTGCTGTCTTTTTTCTTTATTCTTTTTAATACTATAAGCAATAGTTAAACCTCTCACATAGGCTTTGGCACCTACCTCCTGCGAGACTGGCTAAGATATTTTCACATGTGGTGGACTTGCCCATGTGCTCAGAAGTTTTGGAGAAATATTAGAAATTGGATTTTAAATATAACAAAATAAAATTTAAAACTTGAACCCGAAACCTTTCTGCTAAGTATGATAGATTTAAAGAAAAAATATAGATTTTGGAGAAAAAAATATCAATATTTAATTTTGCACATCGTAACTGTGGCCAGAATAACCTATGCACAAAACTGGAAACTGTCTTTCATTCCTTCAGAGGACATGGTAATTAAAAAAATACATGAATGTGCTGAGATGGATAGCCTAACCAAACTGTTAAAAAATAAACAAGATAGTGACTATTATGAAATATGGAACATTTGGTATGATTGGTTAAAGAAAAGGTAATATTTGATATTTGGATAAGTTATGGAAATGACAGAAGACGTGCATTTAATTATAAACTATATAGAGAAATCAAAACATTAAAAGAACGAAGGAGTTATTGTAACAAGGCAGATCACGTCAATGATAAAGATAAAGAAAAAAAAGTTAACCCTTGCTCAATATACGCTGTAAAATGTATATATATGTGTGTGTGTGTGTGTGTGTGTGTGTGTGTGTATGGTATTCAGCTTTGTTCGGGTATTTTCCCACGTCATTATAGTTGTGCTTTTAAAGTTGTAGCAATGTTTCGGCAGAATCTCATCTGCCATCATCAGGCTTCTGTATTGTGTTCGTCGACGAACACAATACAGAAGCCTGATGATGGCAGTTGAGATTCTGCCGAAACGTTGCTACAACTTTAAAAGCACAACTATAATGTCGTGGGAAAATACCCAAGCAAAGCTGAATACCATACATGTAAGTACCCGTGAAAACTTAAGAAAACAAATATATATATGTTGATTTGTCTGTTTTAAATGTATGTCAAATAAATGTTTAATAAATAAATAAATAAAAAAGAAATGGTCTTGGACTAAATAAAACTGACTGCTTCAAGCAGAAACTTACAGACTTTTGGAGTATGATTTGAGCTGATTGACATAACAAACTATTATGCCTGCCCAAGTTGAGAGAAGTAGAGGAAAAGAAACATACTCTGGATTAAAGGATGTGGAGTCAAAATCTCTAGTTGACCTTGGAAATACTATGGGCTATAACTCAGTACAAGTGGAAATTATATCATTTGTCCATCTGGTCACCAGGAATCAGGCCCAATAGATACATAGCTCTGAAGGAAAGGAAAACAGTTAAATATGCTTTGCAGTATTGTATAGGAAACTCAGACAATGTTGTCTTATTTGGAGAATATGTCAGTTTTTACCAGAAGTCATGGAGAATTGCAGGAGGAGTGAAAACTGTGTTATATGCACTATATATTTTCCTTAGCCTTATTTGTTGCCAGTGTCATACAAAATATTTTGGAAATAATAGTTGATTTCATTATTAATTAATTATAGAATATATTTATGTGATTACTTAATTATTTTAAATGGAAAATTGTTTTATAGTAAAAAAAATTAAGTGAGGTTCAATGTGCCTTTGGATATTTTACAGTATGGATGAAGATTTTTAGAGTTTAAAAAGAATGTATCATTTCATAGTATAGTTTCTCTCATGTTTTAGAGACAATTTAATTCCCAAATGACTTCACTTAGTGATGACTATTCAGTTTGGAAATGTTCTGTATTTGTTTAAAACTCATTAATCTGCCAACATTTTAATATCTCACTGAGTTGCAACTATAGTCAGTTGCCAAATTGAAATTCTGGGTCATCGGCTGCTTAAATTTTCATAAGATAGTAAATCATTCTTTGTATAAGCAACAGAGTTTGCAAAGAGCCCTTTCATGGTTTTTTTGTTTCTCCACATGGAGCCATTGCTACCCAGCAATTATGTTAAAAAAGTGCTGCATTTGAGGTTTTGATTATGTATTGAATGATATATAGTTAATTAATTTCCAGGATCTTAATGCTGCACGCAATACTGCAGAATTTCAAAAACATATTCCACTTTGTAGCTGCTGTCACAAAATATATTTGAGCAAAAATAGGTTATAAAATTGTGCTCTATGTACTGTGTGAATATCTATCTGTCTGTCTTCCCCAGATGCAAAACAGTAACTGGTGATAAACGCTATTGGAATGGTTTTGAGTAAATGCTAGTACTGGTACAGACACACACACACACACACACACACACACACACACTAATGGCTATCATCTTTGGTGTTTTTTCTCTTCTTCAAGTTTTATTATGTAAGATATAGCCAACATTCTCCTTTTTCCACATTCATTTTCAAGCAGAAATGAATACTGTCTGAAAATTCATGCCCAGATGTCATGGGAAAAGGAAGATGAGATAATTTAAAAAGTAAATTAACACATTATGAATGGCAAATGTTGGATTCTCTGAGATCTCCTAGTCCTGTTAATGACAAATCAGCAGGCTAGAAGTATGAGACAAATAAAACTTGCCATGCTTCTTTTTCTTAATGTCTGGAGATTGCCATCTTGACTATTGGCTCAAACAAGCAGAAACTATGGAACTGTGCTATGAATTGTAGAGAAGTGAAACACCAAGTAATTTTGTATAACATAATGAACTAACTGATGGGAAAAGCTACCATGAATGTGAGAATCTGTGTTTGAGAAAAAGCAGAATGCAAGAAATGTGGCCAGGATTTGGTAAAATGAAGCAGCTAAACCAAAAGATGACTCTAGCATCTCTATCTATAAACTGCAAGACTGACAGGGAGGAAACCCAAATATATCTGATAAACACTAGAAAACAAATAAATACAGAGTATTGGTGACATGGGTACCAGCTAGATGCCACAACACACTTTATTCTTCTAAGTAACAATTTGGCTAGTCAGTGTTTTTATGATTTCTCCCAAATTTTGCAACATCTAAGGCAGGGGTTCCCAACCTGGGGTGCTCGCACCCCCTGGGGGTGTGAGACGATATTCCAGGGGGTGCAAGAAAAGTCCAGGTAAATAATAGGATATTGGCTATAGGTTGGCATTTTTATTCCAGGGGGTGCGAGGTTCGAGTGAAATTTTATTCCAGGGCGTGCGAGGTTCGAGTGAAATTTCTTTAGGGGTGCGGGGCGACAAAAAGGTTGGGAACCACTGATCTAAGGTATAAAGTCAACAATACCTTGAAAACATGGAAAGCATGGAAAGATTACTTTTAAAAAATCTACAGTACTCATTTTTTCCCTCAGTTTTCAGCATCTCCAGAATCCCTTTTTTTTTTTAAGAAAAAGCTTAAACTTTAACATTTTTTGCCTATGGATATCTGATTTACAGCTGTTGACCGTGTAGTGAATCACTGTTTGATGGGTTCGCACACATGTGATATCCCGCAACGTGCCCGCTGCATCTACTCCGGTGGATCTTCTTATATCTGTGCATGTATTCCGGGGTTTTCTGGAGATGGACGTTCCTGCATAGGTGAGGGATAGCATTGCACCCTTTCCTCTTTGTTCGTTTTGGTCTTTATGCAATTCTGTTGCATGGTAATTGTGTTCAATCCTTTTATCATAATGTTTTTTACATGCTGAAGAAAATAACTTTTTTAAAAAAGTGAAATGAACCAAAAGAAACTTTTTTTAATTGCTGGGGCCCAATAGTCTACAATTCATATTTTTTAAAAGTTATTTTTATATTAATATTTTGAAAGCAAATGTGAGCAATGCTATGCAAGGAAAGTTTGTATTAAAATATTATTAATTACAAATATATCTTCAGAAATTCTAAAAAGGCAGAAATAACCAATTATTAAGAGTATGCACTTATCAAAAGTTCACAGATTCCATCTAGAATATTCAGGATTTGCATGCAAATAGCAAATACTAACAATTATAAAATAATCTGGTTGAGAATATCATTCTATTACTAGAAATGCATATTTTATGTTGATGGAAAAAATTACATTTTTCTCTAATATTTGAATCCCAATGAATTTACTGTGCCATTGACAATTTATTCATTTATATATCTATTTATATATGAGATGCATGGGATACTGGTATATTCCAACTTTGTACATTTTTTCCTCTTTAAAGCACCTTAATTGGTGATTAAGATAGTTACAACTATCTTGGAACCATTTAGCATGCTCTCAATCTATGTGCATAAATGTTGCTTGTGAATTATCAAAAAAAATAATTTGATATTTGATTCAGTAGGCACTGTGTCCTGATTCACTGCACAGAAAGGAGCATGGGGTTGCAGACTCAAATATTTTGCAGAGAATTTACAATAAGATACTGCATGGAAGAGCCTTAATTCCTGTATTCTTCTTCTCTTATAAAAATAATAGATATAGATGAATGTCAATCGAACCGTTGCCATCCAGATGCTGTCTGCTACAACAGTCCAGGGTCCTTCAGCTGCCAATGCAAAGCAGGTTATCATGGAGATGGCTTCCACTGTGTATCACAAGGTAAACCTTCGGAATAATATGTAAAACATTTTTAAAGTACAGACGCTAAAAGAGTAGTTCCATGGAATAGCAAATGGGCAGCAATTACGTTTTGCATACTGTGACTAATCAAGCTTTGATTAAGGTATAATTATTTGATACTGCTTTTTTGCTCTTTTTTCAGATCTGTTGTTGTCTGTTCCAAATTATTGCTCCTTGTAGTTAAGAAAGTGAAATGACAGCCATCCAGTTCTGATATATATATAGCTGTAAGATAGAACTACAAGGTCATATTCAATACTTCTATTACCCTTTTTATAGTTTTTCAACATTATTACAGCTGTGATATTTTAAGACAGCTTTCTGCATCTTTAAACTTAAGCAACAATATTTATTGTACAATGCAGAAATTATTTTCATTTAGCAAATTCATTCTTTGAAGAAGGTGCAGAGTTTTGCATCTCTTCAGGACATAGCCAGCTTGCCAGTAAAAGAGGTACTGAAGTAAGAGTAGTGCTCTAAAAAGTACTAAGTACTAAGAGTGTCTATAATTCATTATATCCTCACACTCCATTGTTTGATTTCAAAAAGAAACAGCTGTCTGAATTCTGACACCCCTTTTTCTTCATGGACTTTATTTACCATATAGAAACAAACTCAGACACTCTGGCTAGAGGCTATTATCACTACGCATCATTCAACAACTGTTAAAGTGTGTTGTCCTTCACAAATGAAATGAATTGCTGGTAAAAAAAAGTTTTGCATTATATTGGTAATGCTTTGTAACAGAAATAAAACTGAATGGATTTCAAATATAACTTCCTAATATTGAAGGGTTCATTAACTTTCCTTTGAACTTCTCTTAAGAATATCACTTTAAAATGACATGTTGCCTCCCAGAGCTATGAGAAGGAGGATTCATCTTACACCAATCTAACTCCACCTGATATCCTCCAGAAGGGTTGGATTACAACTGTAGAATATACAGCTAGGCTGCTAGGATCTTTTCATCTAAATACCTTTAGGGTACACATAGTTAAGAGAATAGGAATAGACTTACTGGATCTCTATCTGTTTTGAGTATCTTCACAGTTCAAATGTTTTCTGCATTTAATTTATTCAAATATATTATTTACAGCTGTGGAAAAAATGACCATTGGTTTTATTCTGCTCCCCAAAACCCTAAAGAAACCAATGATAGTTTAGACACACTATTCCTCCAGAAAAAGAGAAAGGGTAAAGACATAAGCAAGGTACTGCTGGATTGGTTTTCTGATGCATTGAGCCCAGCAGTCTGTTCTTACAGACTCCACGAGGAAGCCAGCAGATGGTCTTCAGAAACTGTCACACAACGACGAAAGCTAATAACCATTGACCCCCATGACTTCCTTGTGTATTGAATCCAAAGTTTAAATGCATATTGTGTAAAGAAAAAAAAAGAAGTTTGTATCTCTTCACTGCAATTCTAAACATACAGTGAGTACAGTAGTCTAAAATGACAGATCATCAGCCATTTCTGATTCGATCTGTATGGATTCCAGCTGATTTTGAAGAACTCGTGTGGGTAGAATACGGGCTTGGGTATTTCTGACCTAATAGAAATAAAATTAAAGAATTTTTACATTTTCTTCTTCTTTTTATTACAGAAGTAGAGAAGACCAAATGTCAAAGAGAACAAGAACAAATTCTGGCTTTGGGCCCAAGAGGACATAGGCCAATTGGTCAATTTATTCCCCAATGTGATATCTATGGGAATTACTTGCCAACCCAGTGCCATCCTAGCACTGGCTACTGCTGGTGTGTAGACAGAGATGGTAATGAGATGGATGGTACTAGAAGTGGCCCAGGTATCCAGCCTCCATGTAAGTTGCTTCTAAGTTAATAAGTTAGTGCAATAATTTTTCTTCATGTAGATTTTGCCTATTCTTACTTATAACTCAACTAAGAAGTATGAATATGTACGAATTTGAGATATTTGCAGTTATTTGTATATCAAAGTTCTGTGATTAAATGAAAGGTACATTTATACTATAAATGTGATTTGAATTATCTGGTTTTATTTTATAATTTGTATTTCCAATAATAGAAACTGCAGTAGAATATAAAACATTGCCAGCATGAAACATTTTGGATACATTTTCCAGTCAATACTGCATTTTACCCTAGTTCAGTGTTTTCCTTAGCAACTTTAAGATGCGTGAACTTCAACTATCAGAATTCCTCTTGGAGTTGGAGTTCCTCTTGAAGCCCACACATCTTAAAGTTGCCAAGGTTCAAAAGCAATTCCCTGGTTGGTAACAGAAAATGAAAGCATAGGTCCCTGGTACAAACCACAATGATGAAACATGTATTGACACATCATATATCAAACGTTGATTCTTTGGCCTTGCTTGCTGATGTCAGACGCAAACATGTAACACATGTGATGTTTATTGAGATATCATAATGCACATTTCATCACTTGATTCCCTGTGTTTCTCCCAGGGATGTCTAAGAAGTGGACGTTGGTTGGGGAAGAGCGTGCTTCTTGGTTATTCTGGGTTGTTGGATGATTTTAATATTGTTAGTAATGCATGATTGAGATCACAGAAATGTAACTTTGGACCTAAAGTTTATTGCTTTGTGTGTGTGTATGTGTGTGTGTGTATAAATCAATCAATCAATCAATCATCAACTGTGAGAGAAATAAAATAAGTTTTCTGCCAGGATTCTGGCAGTTGCCCTAATTAAATCATGAGCCTCGAGCCAAGCTTTAAAACTTCAAAGGATTTATTAGGAGTGACCATGTCGGCATGACTTGTATGTAGCGAATTCTGAGACACATAATTCACTGTCACCCTTGACCCTGGTTTCCCCCCCACCCCTCTGGGTGTATCATAATTCACGTTCTCCAATTAGGAATTTGCACAGCAGAAACTCTGGTAGCTTAGTTATAATCTTTGCAAGATAAGAATGGAATGCACTTTCGATTTTAACTGCTGCACTGCTCTTTCAAATTCTCCCCCCCCCTTCTGTTCATGGCAAATCTAAAAAAAGGCATAGAAATGTTTTATGAGTTGACATTTTCAGGATTGTACATGAATATGTGGATTGGCTACCTTTGTTTTTTAATGGCTGCATCTCTTAAGCAAGAAGTGCAATGAACATTTATATGCTAGAGGGTTGTATGTGTGCATGTTTGATGATGCATGTATACAGTGGTATAATCATCATTAAATTTTGTATTTAGAATCTGATCACTTTTTGTGGTGGAGACATGCATTGCAATCTGAGACTAGGGCAGCTAAGGTCATTGGACCTAAATCTCAAATAACAATGCACCAAATTGCAATCTCTTGTTGTATGTATTGTAGCAATGCCTTAAATGTGCTAAATTGCCAGACTTGTACAGTATCAGTAAGATTACCTGGCCTTGTAGATATGGTAAGTTTTGTCTTTGAGTAACCTGATAACATATTATATTATTGGTCAATAAGGTTTGGGCACAGTTGCTCCTCCTGTTACCATTGGACCCTCAGTAAAACCAGATGCAATTCCCCTGCCTCCAGGAAGCCACTTACTCATTGCTCAGAGTGGGAAGATTGACCATGTCCCTCTGGAGGGGAATGTTATGAGGAAATCAGATGCAAAAGCTTTGCTGTATGTACCAGTAAGTATACCAAAAACATGATGCATTTCTTGACTTTTTACATTTTCTCTATAATCTATTGTTTTTATTCTAATCTTCAAAACCATATATTCTTTTTTTTCTGTTTCTCACAAAAAAATCAATAAGGAGTTTCCAATCATCCTTAAATCTAGACAGTGTCCTATCTCTAATTAAAGCAGTTGTCTCAGCAAGTTCTATCTTCTTTGTTATCCATTTCTCTATTTCTATGGCTTGAAGAATGCCTCTCCAGTCCACGGCTAGGAGCAATTGTATATTGAATGGCTAGACTTAACCTTGTGTCTAGTATATTTTTTAAACCCTGATCTTAAAAAAATATATGGCATGCATTTTTATTTGTAATTTGTGGTTAAAGGCAGAGATCTCATAAAATGTTTCTGAAGCATTGTATTTTATAAGTTTCCTTGCTTCTGAGATAATCAGGCCAAACTTTTACAAACAAATTTACTCTATGTGGAGCTTTTAATTAAAGCTAATTTTTATTAGCTTTCTAAGCAAGTCTGGGTCTCCAATAAAGTTTCCATTGTTTGGGACTCTTGGAGTTTAATTGCCTTTGTAGATAGCTATAAAAATTTATGGGACATATAAGATTCTTCCCAAGTACTTCCTTTCTTGATTTCTACATTTCCACTGTAAATATTATAATTGCCTGATAATTTCCTATAAAGTGGTCAGTGTCTATATTCTGTCACAGGTTTTTTTTATCTCTTCTCAATGTCTGAACTGAATATTTCCCTAATCTCCCATTTTCTTCTACAATTACTCTGAGTTTCTTGCTGTGTAGTAAGGTCTTAATCATTTAAAATAGTTTAGATCCTCTGAATGGGTTGTTTAGCATTGTATTTTTTTTGAAAAGGTAATAGAAATCATTGATCCTGCATGTTCAACCAAAGCTGCATTTTCCCTTAATTCCCAGTACTCTAATTATACACTCATGCCACATTTGTACATATCTTTTTTTTTAAGTTGAGAGGCTAATTAAATAGTGCCAGGAAATTTGGTTGATTGTAGTATTGTTTCAATGACAAATGTGGATATGGAGAAGAGAAGAAGAGCAATATAAAGATAGTAACTTCCAGTCAGCTAAAGGACAGAGTACTAAAGCACAAAGATTGAGGGGAATCGATTTTTATGCTCAAATTAATATTAATTAGAATAGTTATTCTTTCATGACTCTGTATTCTGATTCTTCCAGAAGTCTAATCTATCTATAATTTGTATTTCGTACTTAAATATAGGAACCTGCCTTATAAAGGGTCAGACACTTGACTTCACACATTCTAGCAGATGGCGACACTTAAAGATTTTTTGAGATTTGAGATTTGACATTGAGATTTTTCATAGCTCTGATGAAATCCTTTTTAACTGCACAGAGCAGAAATTTGGAGCTTTTGCATGCCACTGAATAACAATCTTTCCTTAAAAGAAAGAAATATTGAATATTATGTCTTAATTACAATTATTAAGTGGTTCGGTGACATTTTGTTTTCAAGCTGTAGGGTTGGATTTTAGAAATGGGAATGGAATAAACATAGCCCAGTGTGAATTATTAGGTAGAATAGTTCAACTGTTCTATCACTTCATTTTTTTTAGCTGGGATTACAGGGGTGGTCCCAAGATTTAGGTGACAACTTATTTCTTTTCTATTGCTGCAATGCAATTTGTTTCTGATCTTGGGTATTGCCTTAAGCCAGAAGGCAGCATTAACCCATCTGGACTGATTCCTAAATGCTAAACAAAAACAGATTTGATTAGAACTAGGATATAAGGCTTTAACTTTTGAATTTCCTCATTAGTCTCTTACTGTCCATTGTAGAATTTTGAAGCCACCAAATTCTTAGCCATTTCTTTAGCATTACAAATGTGATATGGTAGTTTGTAATGGTTTGTCTAAAATGCAGGATAAAGTTGTTATTGGAGTTGCTTATGACTGCTTGGAGAAGATGGTTTATTGGACAGATATCAGCAGCCCATCCATCAGTAGAGCAAGCCTTGGTGGAGGAGAGCCAGTATCTATCGTAAAGACAGGTAGGAATTATAGATTTCCTTCCTCACCATGTCACACTGAACCCAATGTATGTTTCCAAAGATGGGAGATGATTTTCTGCACTTAACATTGAAGTCCTCAGCATAACCTCTCACAATATCTCGATAAAAAATTCAGCCCTATGCGGTAGGTTTGAAATTAGTGCACATTTGCTATTTTAAAAATTTTTTTTGGAATAAAACACTATTATGTACTGCATTTTTCAACTTTTGACAGTTTTCAATGTTACTTATTTTAGTATATAACAGGCAAATGAAGACATATAATTATATGTAATTTATTTCATTAAAGTGATGTGTATTAAGCTAGTTTTGTTATAGTATTTCACATGTCATTTTGATTGCATCTATTGCTACAGGGGCTTATTTTATTATCCCTAATTTGTATGTACAGTGCAGTCCCTTTATATATAACTCAGAAGTAAATATCCCTGAGCTCAGTGAGATTTCTTGCCTAGAATGGAGGTTTCAATCTCAATGAGAAAAAATAATCTACTGGCTGTTTAGAAGAATTCTTTAAAATGTATGTAAGGGCTGTGCCAATTGGATGAAGCTCTTCTGGCTCTCACAAGGCCACAGAGCAATAGCACAGCTGCCTCTGTGAAAGAGTTTTTACAGGAAGTCAGCCTTAACCCCTTCTAAGGCCTAATGAGTAGAAGTGGCTTTGTATATGTGAAATCCCTTTAAAACCTATATTCCATGTCAGTTGAGTAGCGTATGACCTTTATAATCATCTGCTCAAGTTAACGGCTGCAGAAGGTACCCCATGGGGAGAAATGCAGCATTGTGCCCTAACCTTCAACTCCTTTCCATTCTTGCATAATCCCAACATTACGATCAAATGGGGGAACGGTTATAAATGTCATTGCATTAAAACATGACTGGATTATGCCTGACTGATTATGAGGTGGTCTGATAATCAAACAGCAATCAAATTTTGTAACATTATCTGAAGAATTACATACTGTAATAAGTGTTTTAAAATGGTTACATCCATTTCTCTAACTATGTGGGCAGAATCAAATAACTTCGTGGCTTTTACTGGCTTGTTTAATCAACTAGAAAATTTTCATCACAAAACATAGGTTTGAAAACCTAAAAAAGAAAAGAAAAAAAAGTTCAGTATTTAAAATAAGAAATGGAATAGAGAGCCGGAGCTGGGTTTTATACATAAATGATAGTTTTAATATTTTTAACAGGCAGACTGCTGTATAGTTAAAAAAAAGTTGTATAACATTAATTTAAAAACAGAATGTGCTTACAGTCTTGGCCTAAATTGTGGTCAGTCTCTTTTGAACAGAACAAAACCCTTTTTGAGCAGAAAAAAATCCAGCACATTTGAATGAACATTGAACTTTTAAAAAGATGTCTATACTCAATCTGTCTTTGTGATTATTCCTTGGAGCCATTGTAGAGGTTATCATCTGCTATTTCCTGTTGCCTTGGGCCTGGTCACTGTCCAAGAAAAACTAGTTGCATACTTTTTTTAGGAGTTCTTCTAAAGCTGAAATCTCTTTTCCAAAATGATCAGCTACTTGGAGCTTTAAATTTTCTTCTGATGACTAAAACTGATTGATTTTAAAAAGTTCTCAAAATAGGTGCTTCTCTGCTTTTCAGTCAATAGTTTAAAATCATAGTATTGTACCTCTATTAGAAAAGTCCGTATTTTTTGTTGACAATACTTAAGTATTTATAAGTTTGCCCCAATTTTGTTTCTTTTACTAAAAAAAAAATGCAGACTTTGTCATATTTGTGAAAATATACAGGCACCTTATGTAGATATTTCCTTGTAGATGTTTATATGGAATGAACCTATTTGTTTTAATTAGAATGTTAAAAGTCACAATATGATAAGTATTAATGGGTATAATGCAGGGGTGAAATTCAAAAATTTCCCCTACCTACCGGCTCTGTGGGCATGGCTTGGTGGACGTGACTTGGTGGGCTTCAGTCTCTAAAAGGAAGAAGGCGCATGGGCGTGGCCAACCAATTCAAATTGTCCCTACTACCTCTCCGAACCGATTCAAATCGTCCCTACCAGGTGGTTGAATTTCACCCCTGGTATAGTGACTTATACTGTACCACAATATATTATACTACTATAATTTAGGGTTAGGGGAGACTTACATTTAAAGGCTCACTGAACCTTGGAGTTTGGGACAGTGACACTCTTTAGTTCAACCTATTCAACAGGAAAGTTGTGAGAAAGCAATTGTGTTATTCACTACTGTGAGCTCCTGAGGAAATGCAGAACAAAATTGGATCAGTCAATTAACAAAATAAATATTTTCTTTCCAACATTGTATTTATACTACTTACAAGTACTTATAGTAATTGACTTGAAGATTAGGCCAAGTGTTCCAACAATTATTATAAATCCATAACTAAGTAATTTTACATTGAAATAACAGTTGAAATCTACCAATGCTAGTTTCCTTTTACCTTCTCTTCAACAGAATGGATATTTTTATTTCATAATTTCTCACATGTAGTTTCTCGATATTTTTAAGCATAGTAGTCTGCCTTTGCCTTACCATTAAACAGTTATTACTGTGATATTTAGCAAATCCTATTCACAACCAACCTATACTTTCCTTGAATTTGCCTGGAGCAAAATCAGATATTCCACTCCAGAGGAAATTGGTTCAAAATCCTCAATACCCACACTGAAGATACATAAAAATATGGCACTAGGTTTTAGCATTTTGCTTATTATTAGGGACCCCTGCATTTTTGGTGTTTGAGGCACTGTATTACTTCACAAATAATGATCCATGACGGGCTTGGCAGGGAATTAAACACATCACTAATTACAGGGTCGGCAACCCCATATTGATCAAAAAGGACGCATCACTGGCAGAAGAATTAAACTGCTTCTTTGCCTGGTTCAAACTAAATAGGTCTTCGAACACACTGCCTTTACAAACCACCGGTACTCAGCTGTTCACAGTACAAGAGTATGATGTGAAGCAGGTGGTTAGAGCAGTGAATGTAAAGAAGGCCGCTGGCCCTGATGGGGTACCTAGGAAAGTACTCAAAGCATGTGCTGACCAGCTCGCAAGTGTGTTTACAAATATTTTTAACCTTTCTCTTACACAAGCCATTGTTCCATCTTGTCTCAAAACTTCCATTATTACTCCAGTTCCCAAAAATCCCTCTCCTGATACTTTAAATGACTATAGACCAGTAGCTCTCACACCCATAATTACGAAGTGTTTTGAGAGACTGGTCTTAAAATATATACAAAATTGCCTCCCATCAAACCTTGACCCACACCAGTTTGTCTATCGGAATAACAGATCCACAGAGGATGCTATTGCCATGGCTCTCCACATTGCACTGAACCATCTGGAGCATAGTGGGAGCTATATAATACTGGAGCCTCTGTGGCACAGTGGTTAGAGTGCAGTACTGCAAGCTACTTCTGCAGCCCAGCTGCCTACAATTTGGCAGTTCAAATCCCACCAGGCTCCAGGTTGACTCAGCCTTCCATCCTTCCAAGGTGGGTAAAATGAGGACCCAGATTGTTGGGGGCAATAATGCTGATTCTGTAAACCACTTAGAGAGGGCTGGAAAGCACTATAAAGCGGTATATAAGTCTAAGTGCTATTGCTATTGCTATATAAGTATGCTTTTCATTGATTACAGCTCGGCTTTTAATACCATCATTCCGGATATACTTATTAAGAAGTTGCTAGAATTGGGCCTCTCTTCTCACATTTGCTGTTGGATAAAGGACTTTCTTACTCCCAAACTGTTAGGATTGACAGCTATTTTTCTTCCACTCTTGCTCTCAGCACTGGCTGTCCACAGGGTTGTGTGCTGAGCCCCCTTTTGTATTCACCTATGACTGCACTCCCTCTTGTCCCACTAACTCTATAATAAAATTTGCAGATGATACCACATTGGTGGGACTCATATCAGAAGAAGACAAAACGGCCTATAGGTCAGAGGTTTTCAGACTGGTCTTGTGGTGCAAATGTCATAACCTCGCCCTGAATATCAAAAAGACCAAAGAATTTATTATAGACTTCAGATGATGCAAAGCAGAGCCTCAATGGAGACTGTGTGGAAAGAGTTCATATTTTAAATTTCTAGGAACTCATATTTCCAACAACCTTACTTGGTCGGTCCACACTATGGCCACTGCAAAGAAGGCCCAACAGCGCCTGCACTTTCTGAGGCTGCTGAAAAAGAGTGGTCTGGGTGAGAAGTTGCTGGTTATTTTTTACCATTCTACCATCGAGAGCATTTTGTCACGGTGTTGTATGCTGGATGCTCTGTAGTAGATAAGATGATGCTCCAGAGAGTTATAAACATAGCACAAAAAATCATTGGTTGCTCTCTTTCTTCTTTGGAAGAGATTGCGAAGACCAGACTCCCCTCTAGAGCACAAAAAAATCTCCACAGACTTCTCATCCTGGTCATTCATATTTGTTATCATCAGGGAAACGTTATAGGTGTCTTAAAATGAGGACTAATAGACTGAGAAACAGTTTCTTTTCCAAAGCAATAATTGTCTTGAATCAAACAGTACATTTGTGATTTAGTTCTGTATATAAAGTGGCATTTTAAAACTATCTAACTTAATATATGTTTTAAATAGGTTTTAGACTAGGTTTATTATTATTATTATTATTATTATTATTATTATTATTATTATTATTATTTTAATTATTTTAATTATTTTACTTTTTAAATACTGTGTAGTGTGATTGTGATGTGGTGTTTGGGGCACTGTGCTGGAGTAACTTTCAAATTTCATTGTATTTTGAATGCAATGACGAAGTATTCTATTCTATTCTATTCTATTCTATTCTATTCTATTCTATTCTATTCTATACTATACTATACTATTCTATTCCCATTGTAACATTAGATGCCTCAAGCCCTCTTCAGACATTTGAGACCAAATATGGAAGAGAGATCTCTTGAACAAAATAAACTTCCTCAGAACCTAGGCATAACTTTGAATGTTAGCCATGCCCTTTGATTAATGTTTTCTTTTTATATCTCCTTCTTCAAGATTTGGAAAGTCCTGAAGGAATAGCCCTGGATCCCCATGGTCGTACTATCTTCTGGACTGATTCTCAGCTTGACAGAATAGAGGTAGCCAAAGTAGATGGCACTCATCGACGTGTATTGTTTGACACTGAGCTGGTGAATCCTCGAGCCATTGTTGCAGATCCTGTGAGGGGGTAGGGATGTATTAAATATCCTATTATTTTATTTACCATTTATTTCCTATTCCTTCAGCCCATGCTGTTTCAGTACCTATATCAGGTTCTTTTCCCATGCTAAAACTATCAGTCCATAACATGTTATAGCCAAATAAATAAACAAACTGTATTGTAGCTTGATATGATGCATGAATCACACAACATAGTAAGACAAGGGCAGGATCCCATAACAACCTGACTACAAATTGTCCAATCTGTTATAGTTTAGTCTAGTCTAATATGTTGTGTGAACCCAGCCTCTGAATGTTGAATTTCTTTCAGTTTAGGGAGCAGCTTGGGGATTTCCTTTTATTTTTATTTATTTGAATTATGTGCCAGATATCTTGTCTAGAGGTGACCCTGGGCAGTTTACAAGAATTAATATTGTATGCAAGCTGAAGTTGCCAGTATGAGATCCCGTTTTTTATGCAAATGATCTTAATTTGAAATCCAGTAGTAACTCAAGACTAGAAATGGGATGGAAGGGTATCTCACATCAGGTGTAATTTGGTGAAACTAGAACAGTGTTGCATGGAACAGTATAGAAATCCAGTTGACTGTATTAATTGTACAAGAAGTGGAAGAGCTCAGTTATAATAGCAAATGTATGGCCAGGGTCCAATAGTGGAACAGATCACAAATTGCTCATGTGCAAGCTTCAAGTCAAGCTAAAGTGGAAGAACAAAGCCAAGCAGTTTCACAATATGATCTTGACCCTCTATGCAATATTTTCAAGAAGATCAGGAATTGCTTCAAAGTCCCAAACCTCATTGAGAGAGAACTAGATGAACCGTGTAATGAAATTGAAGAAGTTGTCAAGGATGAATGTGAAATTGCCAAAGACTAAGAAAAAACAGGAATCTAAACTGAATGTCAGAACAGACAATGGAGATTGCCAAGAGAAGAGAAAGAATGTTTCAGGAAGGAAATTAACAATAACAACAACAACAGCCCTCAGAGAGATATTTAAAGAAACATTGGTTATAGAAAGGCATTCATTTGTGTGGATTATGCCAAACAGTGGAATGTCCTTAGGAAGATAGGAATCCCAGGTGAAATCTATATACAGGACAGGATGAAACATGAGAAAGCAGACTGACTCCAGATCAGTGAAGTGATGAGAGATGCCTCTATATCTTGTGTTTATTTATTCAAACTATATGCTAAATATGGATTAAGGGAGGCTGTGCATGCACTAGTTTTAATTGTGTGTGTGCCAGCCTCACACTAACTGAATTTTGGCTTACATTAAACAAACCTGGTATCACTTTATAAATTGCAGTAAATTGAATATCCTACTACAGTACTTGAACTCACACTAATCACAACCTACCATGTACAGCACACTAGTAAAATATTCTGAATTCATGAATTCAAATGAAAGCCTAAATTGAAAGCAGGGACAACAGTCTTGGTCCCATAGCGTGCTACAAACCTAGCTGTAATTCTGGTGCAAAAAAAGAAGATTAAGCTATAAAATTGAAGAAAAATGTAGAATGGAAGAAGTATGCTAAATTAACAAATAAGGAGCAGTATAATATTTTTACTGCTGGGTATATAGTGCCTAGAATTTTCTAGCTACTGCAAAAACTTGCCATGTGTTTTGGTAGACAAGTGATTTTTTTAAAGGTCTGACCTTTTTTCCTTGGGAAAAAAAGCTGTATTCACACAAAAAGCTCACTGACCATTCACTGAGCCATGGGTTTACCCCAAATTTTAGTTTCCCACAACATACTGCCTGAGATCATGCAACATGCTAAACCAGGGGTCTTCAAATTTGATAGCTTTAAGACTTGCGGACTTCAACTCCCAGATTTCCTCCTCCAGTTATGTTAGCTCAGGAGTTCTGGGAGTTGAAGTCTACAAGTCTTAAACTTGCCAAGTTTGAAGACCCCTGTGCTAAACACACTAAAATCTAACCATGAATTAATATCACACAACTGGCTAAATGTAATATGCTATGTCCTATTTTTCTTTTAAAAACGTGATGTTTTAACTTGTCACTTAGTATGCTGATGTAATCGCCGTTTCCTTAGGCTATGCTGAACTATAAATTACCCAACTTCATTCAGATTCAATGTGATGACCCAGGGTGGGATACAAAACGAACAGTCACAGAAAACAGGTGAAGCCCCTTTTATTCCTTCACTTTGCTTCCAAGCTCTGAATATCTTTGACTGAAGACAAAATAACTCCTAAACAGTTGCACGAAGAAGGAAAAAAGCAACACAAACCAGGCTGGAGGATGTCTACAGATAACCCACACTGGGAAGGACGCCAAACTCAAAGAGGAACTATAAACTAGAAATATTTACACTCTTTGTTTCTAGCATTTGCCAGTACGCAGGTCCATACTCTTATTCAGTTGTCACAGCTGCAGTCCATGAAGAGGATCAAGGCCCTCTCCTCCCGAGTAGACCACAACTCTCCCTTATCCTCTCCTCTCTGCGTGCCCTAGGATGGATAGGGGATGGGCCTGGGTCCTCCTCTGACTGCTCAGCCGGCCTCTGCCTTTCCCCAGCCTCCTCCACAACCTCCAGAGCCACACTTCCACTCCCTGTCGGCTGTTCCTCCTCTCCCTCAGAGTCAGTCTCCACCAGAGGCATGACATTCAATGTATAAACTAATTAATTGACTTGAATTTGCACAGTGCCTTAGATTAAAAAGTGATTGAGTGATTGGAGGTTCACTGTGTTATATAAATAGCAGGTAAATCTTGAATGTTATAATATCAGTGATAAATTATTATATAATAAAATGAAGAGGGATCTACTATGTAAAGGTACAATCTCCCCTAAGTCAAGCTTGACTCCTGTTGCCTTAATGGAAATATCCATGTAATTTTATTAGAAATAATACTACATAATACCAATACCCTCCTTATGCACAATTGCATTTATTTATTTGTATATGTGTCTTTATCAATACACTCAGAAACCTTTATTGGACAGACTGGAACAGAGAAGCTCCTAAAATCGAAACCTCCTATATGGATGGTACCAATAGAAGAATTCTTGTTAAGGATAATTTGGGACTGCCAAATGGGCTGACACTTGACACCTATTCCTCATTGTTGTGCTGGGTAGATGCAGGTAAAGTCTTACACTGTAGAATGAATTAAGCTTATGAAATAAATGAACAGCTGGATGCTAAAATATCAAGGTGTAGTCATGATAGTGCTACTTCTCAGTACTCAACAATTACTGCCACTTGTCTTTTTCTATTTCACAATATCAGTGGTTTAGAGGTGACTACTAACCTCTCATCATAGTCCAGTTTTAATTTCTCAGGTCTGAAGGCACAGCTGTGAAAGTCTGCTGTCTGAAATTCTCAGGACTGTCAGTCATTATGAAAAGTATTATGTTAGATTACCCATGGTGGCTAATAGGTAATGGTTAGCCCTAAAATGACTCAAGCATACAGAAGGGGGCAAGGAAAGCAAATGTTAAGAATTGCAAACTTTGTAATTAATATTTTCAAAATAAATGGAAAAGATGTGGACAGGTTTTGACATGGGCTAATATAGAAGAATTGAAAAGGAAGCCATAACAGTATACATACTGTATTTATCCAAAAGTGTGTGTGGGGGGGAATCCTCAAATAATCATTTACAACTTATATGTGGAGAAGTTACCTTCTTCAGCTGAGAATATATTAATGCTAAATGAAAGCCTTGCTAAGAAAAGGGTCAGTTTCTTGCAAAGCCCAGCTTGTTTTTTCACCTGCAGGGACCAAAAGTGTAGAATGCATGGATCTCAATCAACATAGCCGTCGAAAGATCCTTGAAGGAATTCAATATCCTTTTAGCATTACAAGCTATGGGAAGAATTTATTTTACACTGACTGGAAAAGGTATGAGTTACCTGTTTTTGTTTATTTTGTATTACTTACAAAAAAACCTGTGCGTTATTCATAGTCTCCACTCCCCCACCTCCAAGCCCTGTATAAGTGAGGGCAAATCTGTATATTAAAAAAAAAACTCCCGCATCCACTGCAGGCAGATAACTGAAATATATTTTCTGAGGTGCTTGTGGATATATGTGTTGGTGTTTGTGTGCACTCCAATAGGTTTTGGTGTTTTTACATCTAATTTTCTCTCCTTCTTTCTCCATTATTTTATATTTTATTTATGTCACTATTTTATGTGCCATAGAGATGCCGTGGTCGCAGTGGATCGCACAATCTCTAAAGAGAATGATAACTTTCAACCCTATAAGCGCACTCGTCTTTATGGAATAACAACAGCCTGGGCTCAATGTCCATCAGGTAACGGTGTGAATATGAATATATGTGTGTGTGTGTGTGTGTGTGTGTGTGTGTATGTACACTGCTCAAAAAAATAAAGGAAACACAAAAATAAGACATCCTAGATTTGAATGAATGAAATATTCTTATTAAATACTTTGTTCATTACATAGTTGAATGTGCTGACAACAAAATCACACAAAAATTATCAATGGAAATCAAATTTAGCAACCCATGGAGGTCTGGATTTGGAGTTACACTCAAAATTAAAGTGGAAAAAAAACACTACAGGCTGATCCAACTTTGATGTAATGTCCTTAAAACAAGTCAAAATGAGGCTCAGTAATGTGTGTGGCCTCCATGTGCCTGTATGACCTCCCTACAATGCCTGGGCATGCTCCTGATGAGGTGGCGGATGGTCTCCTGAGGGATCTCCTCCCACACCTGGACTAAAGCATCCCCCAACTCCTGGACAGTCTGTGGTGCAACGTGGCGTTGGTGGATGGAGCGAGTCATGATGTCCCAGATGTGCTCAATTGGATTCAGGTCTAGAGAACGGGCGGGCCAGTCCATAGCATCAATGCCTTTGTCTTGCAGGAACTGCTGACACACTCTAGCCACATGAGGTCTAGCATTGTCTTGCATTAGGAGGAACCCAGGGCTAACCGCACCAGCATATGGTCTCACAAGGGGTCTGAGGATCTCATCTCGGTACCTAATGGCAGTCAGGCTACCTCTGGTGAGCACATGAAGGGCTGTGTGGCCCCCTAAAGAAATGCCACCCCACACCATTACTGATCCACTGCCAAACCGGTGCTGGAGGATGTTGCAGGCAGCAGAACGTTCTCCACGGTGTCTCCAGACCCTGTCACATCTGTCACATGTGCTCAGTGTCAACCTGCTTTCATCTGTGAAGAGCACAGGGCGCCAGTGATGAATTTGCCAATCTTGGTGTTCTCTGGCAAATGCCAAACATCCTGCACGGTGTTGGGCTGTAAGCACAACCCCCACCTGTGGACGTCGGGCCCTCTTACCACCCTCATGGAGTCTGTTTCTGACCGTTTGAGCAGCCACATGCACATTTGTGGCCCGCTGATCATTTTGCAGGAACTCTGGCAATGCTCCTCCTGTCCCTCCTTGCACAAAGGCGGAGGTAGAGGTCCTGATGCTGGATTGTTGCCCTCCTACGGCCTCCTCCACATCTCCTGATGAACTGGCCTGTCTCCTGGTAGTGCCTCCATGCTCTGGACACTACACTGACAGACACAGCAAACCTTCTTGCCACAGCTCGCATTAATGTGTCATCCTGGATGAGCTGCACTACCTGAGCCACTTGTGTGGGTTGTAGACTCTGTCTCATGCTACCACTAGAGTGAAAGCACCGCCAGCATTCAAAAGTGACCCAACCATCAGCCAGAAAGCATAGGAACTGAGAAGTGGTCTGTGGTCACCACCTGCAGAACCACTCCTTCATTGGGGATGTCTTGCTAACTATCTATGCTTTCCACCTGTTGTCTATTCCATTTGCGCAACAGCATGTGAAATTGATTGTCAATCAGTGTTGCTACCTAAGTGGACAGTTTGATTTCACAGAAGTGTGATTGACTTGGAGTTACATTGTGTTGTTTAAGTGTTCCCTTTATTTTTTTGAGCAGTGTATGTATGTGTATATGTATATATAACATGAGGCTGAAATATGAAAGAAGATATACCATGGATTTCAGAAAATTCTCTGGAGAAATTCCACTACCAATAAAAATCAGCCTAATTCCTAATAGTACAAATTTAATTAACTTAATTGCATTTCTTTCTTTCGATTGCTTTAGGAGAGCTAAAACAAACAGAAAATATTAGCTTTTCCTGCTTGGTAATATATTTTAGTACAGTACCCTTTATAAATTCATTCAGTTTTCATGACTGAACAGTGTCATAAAGAATTTAGCCCTATCAAGAATAAAAAGCTTTTGGCATGCTTTCTGCTGAAATTAGAAATAAAGAAAGATCTTAAATTATTCCTTGCTTATCCTACTGTGTTTCCCCCAAAATAAGACCAGGTCTATATTAATTTTTGCTCCAAAAGACACATTAATGCTTATTTTCCAGTTAGGCCTTATTTTGGGGAAAATATGGCACTAAAATGCATCAGTGTGCCTGATGGTCTTACAGTAACTGGGGCTTATTTTGGGATAGGGTTTATATTACGAGCATCCTGAAGAATCAGCCTTATTTTCCAATTGGATCTTATTTTCAGTGAAATGCTATTTCTTACCTTTTTTGTGCAATTGTTAAAAACAGGCAAAAGAGCTAAAATAGAAGGTGGGTAGAATAAAGTAAAGTATTATAGAAGCAAATACAAAGCTCTTGGTTGATATTTGGGAAATTTGAGTATTGGTTACAGCTTGTGTGACAAAAATGCCATTTCAGAGCTGACTAATAGTGTTTTGGCAAGTATTATTCAAGAACTCTGAGAAGAATTCTAGGAAGGAACTACCCCAGTTAGTTATCTTTCCCTGTGATATTGGCTCACTAACCAAATATACAGATTTTCCAATCCATTATTATTATAGTTTGTCACACAGCCTGCGAAATATTTAGACTGGATTCTCTGCAAGAAGCAAGGTCCTCACTTTTGTACGCAAGAGGGGGACAGTAAAGGAAGGAATGCATGATTCATCCTAAGGTACCTCGTGGCTTACGCATCCAAGCTGATCTAATATTCGTTTTGCCAAAAAATGTTTAAAGGTGGAGGTTTGTTCTCCCAGCTGATGGGTTGGTTTCCGAACAATTTGTTACCAGGCTAGGTAACAAGTTCAGCAGAATTTAGGGGATACCAGTGTCAGTGTTCCTCTGTTTATAAGGGCCTAAACTCCACTGAAGTTGTTACCTAGCTAGCCTGGTAATGAAACATTCAGAAACAAACCCACAAGTTCAGAGAATGAACCTCCATCCGAGCTACAGACATTTGCCACCACTTAATAAATTAATAAATGAAGCACTGGGATTCATTAAGCTGGTACATATATTTTGCAGGACGTAACTACTGTTCCGTGAATAATGGAGGCTGTACTCATCTATGTCTGGCTACCCCAGGAGGCCGTTCTTGCCGGTGCCCAGATAACATCATTGGAGTGGACTGTATAGAAAGGAACTGAAAACTGTAGCTCCCACCCTGGGGAACTACACTGCCACTAAGTAAGCAGCAAGTTTCCTTAAGATAATGGAAAGATTCCTAAGATAATCATTGCTCTTTCCCTTGGGGCTGGAAGCACACTGCAGTCAAATATTGGCACTTCTCTGCAGCCACTTGTTATACATTCCTTTTTTTAAAGAAACAAAAGAACACAAAATATAACAACTACCTGTAACTGTGCCAGTTAAATAAATCCGCCTAAACCATTTATTGTATGAATTATGGTAACAGGATGTTACAAAGCACAAGAGAATCAAATATGAAACATCCATGTATGGAGTCCTACTTTGGCAATTCATGTATAACTTATAACTAGTACAACTGAATGCTGGGCAGTAAAACACCATGAAGGAATTTAATGAAATGACTTGAAGCCCAAAATGTAGGAGTTTATTTGTAATGATAATCAGCTACCTAAGCCAAAGAATCTCATGTTTTTATGCCAAATATCTTAAGTACAATCAGTTTTCCACAGAACCCTTGAGAATACAAATAATATTAGATGCTCTATTAAGAAGGATTAAAGCAGGGTGATATTAAAAATTGATGACTTCTCTGTACAATTCTCTTAATGCTATCTTTTCCCCAACTTAATTTTCCAGAAAGCAATTGGGGAAGTAAAAGGATATATATGAATTATTTGTCTAATTTCAGTGGAAGAATAAACACCCTTTAGCAAACGATTGCAAATTCCTTTGCTCTTTGGTATGGCCTCGTGGATATCTGCATTAAGCAGCAAAAAGTGTAAACTGTGGGAAAAATGATTTCAGAAAATTTGCCAAATACATAAATTTTATATCTATTTTTTCTAGTAGAGGTAGTCCTCGTTTAGCAACTGTCTTGGATAGCAATTGTCCATAAATATCATAGTAATAAATGGTAATTAAAATCATTTTCCAAACAATGCATGCATTTATGACAAAAAAAAGTGTAGAAGCTGATTAAAATCTGGTCAGTTTCAGGCAGCAACTGCCAGCATTGGAGGGAATGAATTTGTTAAGTTGGGATTAGCACTTTTTAGGGAAGTACTGGGCTATGGAGGAAAGCAACTCACTAATAGCTTGTTTAAGCAATCTCCCTGCAAGAGGGAAAAGAAGAAGACAATCAGGCACAGGACACTGTATGAGGCAACCTTTCTGAAGGAGAAGGCAGTGACCTTTGCAGTGTCTCTCTCTCTTCTTTCTATTGTATGTCCCCTTATTGTTCATTTGACTTAGCAACTGAGTGGTTGGAACCTATTGCAGTCACTAAATGAGGACTACTTGTAGTTTCTTTGTGTCCAATTTAGATGTGCTTTTTAATTACATATGGCAAGGGCAATTGCTATTGTGAATTATTTTCTTTAGTCATTGTGTTTATTCTATGATTTCCTTGAAATTAAGAAAAAAAGGAGTTGATTTTCTGTGCCACTTGCTAGCATCCAATTTAACAAGGTAGAGTCTTATAACCCACAGATTATTTCCAAATGGTTTAGGAAAGTTTGCTTCTGTGGTAAAGTATATCTACAGCCCAACAAGCAAATAAAATTTGTCAAGATAGCTGTTTTAAAGGGCAGCAATTTATTTTTTTAAGAAAATAAAATATGCATCAGAAATCATAGCTCACCAGACTTCCACGTAAGGAAAGCAGAGCCAATATTAAGTCTCTGATTACATTTTCATGTTATATTTATCATTGAAATATAAAATACTATATTAAATGTTTAAATTTGATATAACTTTTGTATAACTTTAATACATTTAATTTTTTTTCATTCTGTTAGAAATATCTGAAACTGTAAATCAAACAGAAAAAAAACTGCTGAAACAAACAAAAGGTGCTTCTTAAAAAAACAGTAACCAGTGTTATTTCAAGTTCAGGTGACAAAGAAAGTTTACACTGTAATCAAATAATTTTCACACTGCCAATAAAATAATTTTTGTAAAAAAACATTGCCTTTGAAGTACAACACTACGTCTGATATTCTTTTTTATAAGAAAGATTTAGATCTATTTTTTCAACTCACCTATTATTTTTGTTTCCATAATCTCTGTTTTTAAATTTCTAACAATCCTATGTACAAGCAGAAAGTTTCTTTAACAAGAGATTTATATACTGCAGTTAGTCCTCAACCTACAGCAGTTCTCTTAGTGACTGGTCAAAGTTACAACAGCACTGAAAAAATTACTTCTGACTACTTTTCACACTTACAACCGTTGCAGCATCCCCATAGTTTCATGATCAAAATTTCAGACATTTGGCAACTGACTTATATTTATGACGGTTACAGTGTCCCATGGTCATATGATCACATTTTGTGACCTTTTGACATGCAAGTCAATGGGGAAGCCAGATTCACTTAACAACAGTGTCACTAATTTAACAACTGCAGCAATTCACTTAACAACTGTGGCAAGAAAGCTCATCAAATGGGCAAAATCTCACTTAGCAACAGGATTTTTGGACTCAATTGTGGTCGTAAGTTGAGAACTATCTCTATGCTGTTTGAAAATGTCATCTGGTGTATAAAGTATTTGTTGCAGGTCCTGCTGGCAGCTACTTTTTGGTATAGTTTACCTTGCCATCAAGTACAGCAGATACATACAGTAGATAGATGGAAGCAAAAAAACCCAATTGCACATAAAATATAGGTTTTAAGATATAATTGACAAGATGTGCAAACAGTTAAGCTGTAGAGCAAGGGTGTCAAACTGGCAGTGTCACGTTGCCATCATGTGACATTTTGCGATCCTTTTTTCCCTTCACGGACCTGGGGTGAGTGTGGCCTGCGCATAATGCATCCGGCCTGCGGGCCACCAATATTGCTGTAGAGAAAGAACAATACATATATTCCTCCTGTCTGTAATTGTTTTTTTTAAAATCATGTGTAAGGTTTTTATGGGCTCTGCAATGCTCTATGAGCAGATCTGGCCCTACTGGTAGGCCTAATTAGGCAGATAACTCAGGCAGAAGATGCTATGGGATTGAATTAAAGCGCTATCTATCCCATATGGCCTTCCCAATGCCTTTTAAGCTAGGCTACTGGAGGGCAATTTCTGAGAAACTCTCACAACTTTGCTATTACCAGTATAGATTATGGTTGTGGTACAAAAAGTAGATTTCCAAGCAATTCTACACAGGGAGAGGAAGGTCTTAAATCGCCTAATAGCAGATGTTCATCAAGGTGTATTGATCACATTAAACCCTTACAAAGGGTTTGTGAGCACTTATTGCTCCTTTGAAAGAGAGCATTAACTGTAAAACAGAAAAGAAGTTAGATAGATTAAACGAATTGGAAGGGACCCTGTAGGTCATCTCCTTCTTCAGCAGGGAGTAAAAATAAAGCTGTTTCCTTGAGCTCTGTGAGAATTCATTTTTTCCTCACTTTCTGAAATGGGATCCCCTGAGGAAATTAAATATCAAAAAGCTGAAAAGGTGATTTCTTACTACCAGTTGCTGGGAGGTGCAGCCAAACGCTATTGCAAGTATTTTACTTAAAGGCTTTCCAGAAGCATTTACTTAGCTAATGAGAACATGATGGTGGAGTAGACTGGCCTTTGCTCAGGACACTTCTTACGATTGGAGAAGCACAAACCATCCTGTCACCGAGTTCAAGATCATGAAGAATCTCAATTTCCTTTGTAGAACTATCCTAACATATGACATCTGCTTGCTTGGGATTTCTCTGATTGTATAATTTTGCCCCAATACATTTGACATCAACTTGATAGAATGACAAGAGATTATGAAATGATAAAAAGATAAAATTGTCTCTCAATAAGAGAGGTAAAGGTATAAGGTTTCCCCCTGTCCAGTTGTGTCTGACTCTAGGAGGCAGTGCTTATCTCCTTTCTTAGCCAAGGGAGCCAGCGTTGACCAAAGACATTTCCAAGAGTATACAGTAATACTTAACCAGGTTCAGGTTTAATCTAGGATTGTATGTTATATATTTGAAGATAACCTGCCTCACATCCAGAAGTTCAATGTTTCTGTCTGCCTGGAATGTCCATTGCCATTCCTTAATCCTCTCTAAAAGTTCCTGCAATATTGATCGTACAATTTGCATACAGCATGTGCACACAGAGAAATGGAACTAGACTCAATTTTAGTGTAAGACTAAAGTTTTGTGTTGTAAGACACAAATGTTTTTAATAGGAAATATCCCCTTTTATATAAAACAAGGTTATTAGTTCAATTTATATAGCCACCCACCTCACACTCATAACTCTAGATGGCTAACAACAATTAAAAAAAAACACACATAAAGCCGCACAAACCCCATGACAAAACCATGTCTTTTAAGGCCTTGAAAAAGGCCAGCAGGGTTCTCCAGTCTTCAGTCAAATCTAATATCCAGGTAGATGATGTTCCAAAGGACAGACACTATGTCAGAAAAAGTTCTCTACCTTGAGTCTTGTCAGATGGATGGAAAAGCGTTCGTCTCCTACTAGACTTGATGGGATGGGTAAGTACAGCTGGTCTCTTGCAATGAAAGACTTTTAGAATTACAACCAAGATCTTGACCTGCATGCAGAAGCAAACTGGCAACCAAAGTAGAGGTGTAACATGCACACCCAGGAGTGCACATAACTGCTACATTCTGTAGCATTTGTAACTTCCGTGTTCTCTTCAAGGCCAGCCCCATGTAAGACACATTGCAGTAGTCCATTTAAAGCCTTCCTGCTTGTCTCCCATGTTTTAAGACTTGCTCTTCTTGCTATTAACTTAGATCGGGGGTCCCCATACTTGGCATCTTTAAGACTTTGGGAGTTGAAGTCCACACGTCTTAAAGTTGCCAAGTTTGGAGGCCTCTGACTTAGATGAAAGGATTGCTGCGGTTCAACAGTGTTCTTTCCTTCACTTCATTTTCTATTTTACTCTTGTTCTAATGCTTTCATGTCTCATTTATAAATAAATATTTATACACACACACAACTCTGCATCTCTTTTGCAGAGGCAGCATTTCTCACTTTTCTTTTTATTTTGTTCCTATTTGTCTATTGCTCTTCACTGATACTAACACTGTATTTCCAAAAGCAAGTGTAAACTTACTGGCTGCCTTTTATTTGCTGAGGTTTCATCACATCTACCATTAGAGGGCACTGTAGTTCTAGAAATTAAAACAGCCTCTTTTTTTTTTTCCTATCCACTTTGTTTATAATTACTATTCTTATATAAATAATGTCTTAATTTGTCTCTCACTGGCCCCTTTCTCATTTTTATCCTTTCTGTTGCTGCATGTAGATTTCCAGAGGATTATATGAGAATGACAAAATGACTGTTTTGTCCAGAAAAGAGAAGAAAAAAAAATAGTCAAGAAGACAAACGAGATTGGCTAATTATTATACTGTATGTGACAACTTATATAAGTAACATTTCCATGATGCACATGATCTCGTTGTACATTGTTAGGAACCAATAACTTATCTTGTATACTGGTGGGCATGGCTTGTATGTAAATATTATAAATATTTATGTAAATATTGAGTTTTTTATTTAAAAAAGAGCAACTTTTACCCAAAAGCAGGCAAAGCAGGCAGGCAGATTGAGTTGCTCGCAGAATCACAGATTCACTTAGAGGTCTATCTATCTGCAGTCGGCTACTTGAGTCTGCATTGAAAAGCTTCAGTCCTGAGGAAGGTTCGGCTTTGCTTTTAGATTAGCTAGAAAGCAAGAAATCCAAGGATTTCAAATTCCAAGGATTTCCTGCTTTCTAGCTAATCTAAATCTCCTGGCAGAGCAGAACAGTTAATGGTCGGGGGATAAAAAGGAAAAATAGCAACTTAGCAAACCAGGCAAGTTGGATGGCTCGCATGCTAGGTAAGGAGTGAGTGGGCAGGGAGGGGAGGGGCCAGCCAATGGAGCGATTTGCCAGTTCTCCGAACTGGGGACAATCGTGTGTGCAGCGTTTGCAAGAAATCATCAGCTGTGCCTCCTGGACAGCCGACAAGCACTGCGCTCTGGTGCGCAGCATTTGAAAGTCCTTGTTTCCTGCTTTTTCAACCTCAGCTGTGCCGCGCAAAGCAGCTGAGGAGGGAAAAGCAGGGAATAAAGGACAGCCTAGAGCCTGGGCAGGTGGGTGGGCCAAACACTAGTTTGGCTGCTCTTCGCAACTACAGGTTCTATAGAACTGGGCCGAACCAGTAGCATCCCACCTCTGGCTGCCATTTTTTTTGTCATCCCAGCTCCTGCAGGGGCAGGTAAGTACCTGCAATGTACAAAGAATGGCAATCCATTGCATCATAGCAGCGACTAGGTGATTTTTAAGCCTTCACTGTCAACTGTCCAGGTTCCCCACTGTGGATGGACACAGGCTCTGCTTCACCAAATATTAATTGATTGATTGATTGATTGATTTAATTTATGTGCTATGTTCTTCTGAGTTGACCCTTTTCACTTTTAACATACAAGTTTGCACAAGAAAAATCCTCTGCTCTTTCTACGCTTTTGGTATGTGAAAGAAAAGGTGAGGACATAAACAGCCCATCACTCTGGTGCAACATTTAATTTCATATAGAATTTCCAGTTTTTCAGGAAATATTGTAAGAATAAAGATCATTGCTCTTTAGCTTAAACTTGCTTAAATTTACTTTCAATCACTTGTGGAAAATCCTGCTTCTAAAAAAACAAAAGAAAGTACTTCCTTGTGAGTATGGTATGTTTTGGAAATGGTTGACATGAAGAAATAAATACTATTCCATCACAATAAAGCAGATCATTGTTAAGAGATGACAGCTAAATTCATTTTTCTGTAATCAAACAAGAGTCTAAAGTCAAAGGGTTTGGCTAGACATGCTCTGGCATGCCATAGCATGACTTGAGAGCTGAAGACAGAGATGGGATCCATTTTAGGGTGGGATTTCATATGTTTTAATTGAGAAATTGCTGCCTTAAATTTCTGCTTGGCCTAAGACATCCATTTTGTGTTATACCTGGTTAGAATTTTTATA